CTTAAACCAAACACTTATACTATAACTATTTCTTAAACCAAACATTAGTATTATCACTATTTCTTAAACTGAAAACTGGCTATTTCTTAAACTGAACACTAATACTATCACTATTTCGTAAACTAAACATTGACTATTTCTTAAACTAAACACTAATATTATCAATATTTCATAAATTAAACACTAACTATTTCTTAAACTGAACACTAGTATTATCACTATTTTATTAACCATGGCAGAGAAAACAACTGACAATAGACAAAGCTCAACTGGAAAATGCACACTAGCACCTATGGTTTTGGGGGCCAAGAAATTAGTGGCCAATGGTTTGAAAAATAAACTTGGAAAAGGCATGTCATCAACATTAACTAGATATAAATGATTAGTTGTTACACTAATTAATGGATGAGTCATGAATATTCTAACAATGAATAGCAAACCCAAATAATTATTCTATACACGAGAATGTCGTCAAAAGTATTATGATGGTCGAATATCTTCGGGAAGTGTCATCCAAAGCAATTAGTCATTTAAGTCTAAAGAGAGCATGTCTTTCTCTAATTTTAGGAAAGATGAGAGCCTATTCCATTCTCACAAAAAGTTCAAATACGAAATCATTAGTTAAGATTATTATGGGAGATAGTTTATTACATTTTCGTTGAAAATTGCGAGAGTGAGAACATGAAGGGAGCATTGAAAGTACTAACTATCATCATTAAAGCTCCTAAACATGAAATAAAGAAAGAGGAAGGAGGCACGTGGGGCTATGAGGCTAGGGTTTGAAGCTACTAAAGAAAATAGGAGGGGCTGCTGCAATATATATGGTAAGTTTACAGAATTTACAATGCACGCGCTTTTGTGAGGTTATTTTTTGTTTTATTATTATTAATTTTTTTTGTCCTTATCATTAAATAAAATTATATGGTGGTTTTTTTTTTAAATGCAAATTTTTTAAACCCTTTTCATTAATTTTTTTTTTTTTAAAGCACCACAATCTTGAACTAACCCTAATTGTCATGCTCAAGGATTACAAAAGACAGATATATTAAAAAAACAACAAAGCCGCAAGTTTGATGAATGAATTTAAGGGGGTGTATTCAATTGAGAATTTGAGAGACTTTAATGGATTTATAAATCCATGAATTTTTATGGAGTTTAATTGATTTGTAGAGATTCTATCTAAAATTTTGATTCAATTCCCTCAAAATCTCATGGGGAGAGGTGAGATTTGTGGATGCTTAAAATACACTACGAAATCTCTTCAATTCCCTCTAATTCCTCAACTTTTTCAAATTCTTTAAAATTAATTTCTAATTGAATACATCTGAAATGTTATAAACTTCTTTAAAATCCTAATTGAATACACCCGGATTTTTAAGGATTTTAATAAATTATCTTAAAATTCTAATGGAATACACCTTGAATTTTAGAGAATCACTTAAAATTCTGATTGAATACCCTTAAATTCATTAAAAGAATTAAAATCCCTCAAAATCCTACTTTTATGTAACGTTTAGATATTTATTTTATTTATTTGACGTATGTATCACTAACCTTGGTTAATGGTATTTCAAGTGCCTCAATACTGATGTGCTAATGAATCTTAACTATTTGTTTTGTATTACTTCAATATTTTGAAATAATTTGTTTAAATTAAGATATTTTTTTTTTTCAAAATACAAAGTATATCAAATAGATGGACCCTTTGACAAGTGGCATTTACCATAGTGGTGGAAAAAGTGTTAAGACCTTGTATGACAGTGTGGATTCAAACTCCGTCGTTAGCTAATCTAACACAATCTATTGTTTGACAGAAAAATAAAAATAAAAATAGATTGATCATTTTTTAATCAAATTATTAAATTAATAGCTCATCCAGTATTATATCTTTTTTTATCATGTTACACAATTACAAAATTTACCAAACACTCTAACATTTTCTTTTACAAAAATAATTTTTACTATTATAATTTATCAAACACTTAACTAATTTTTTTACAGCTATTTATTATATTTTAACATAATATAATCAATTTTTGTTAAAACAACTATACCGAACTAGCCCTAAAACAAAGAGAGAAAAGTGCAAAATATATTAATAAAATAAATTTAAATAAAATAAAAAATATTAGAGGAAAGGGCAAAAAACAAAGGCTTATTTTTAGTTGTGCTAGTGAAACTCTATTTTAATCTCACTTTCCTCTTGTAACTAAAAAACCGATCACTATACTTTATGAATTTCAAAATGCATTTCACTTTGTCTCGGCAGATTGGACTCAAAATTCATTCCATTTTGACGACTTTCAAGTTTTATGGGGTAAATTGGACTCAAAATTGAGTTTACGAGGTTAAGTAAAACAAATTTTGAGTTTTATATCATCCATAAAAGGTGACTTAAAAAACAAACAGTTCAGATCCTCGAATGGAGAACGGATGTTAAAACAAAAACAAACGTAACTTTTCCTTGTAGATTTGTTGATTGTCAAGGACAATACCGAATTTCACAAGTCCTAAACCTCTTGTTGATTCACCAAGAATGCCAAGAAGTTTATCACACGAGCGTTGCTGATTCTCTGTACGAGAATGGGCAATGATTGTTGGGGTGTCTATACCTCGTTAATTCCATTGGAATATCCAAGTTGACAGAACAAGAACAAAAACGAGAAAACTCTCTCAAGCTGCACTCAATTTTCAATTCAATTCATCATAATTTTTCCCCTATAATACAAAATACTCTTAATTTATAAAAATTCTAACCCCCTCTTAATAATTACTGATACATGCATCATTACTAGAGTTAATGAACTCATTAAGATTAACCCCGCTAACATATATTTATTACATTAAATAAAGATTCAGTCATCCTGCATCATTCTCACTGGTTTGGAAAGAATTCGTCCTCGAATTCAGACTTCCTTGTTCTGAAATCTTCCAGGAATAATGATGAGGTTTTCCACTCCAATCAAACAAATATTTAGAAATCATGAATATTCTTGAACCGCAAAGCTCACGCTCCATAGTCAATCTTGCAATGCACAATTTCTTCTTATTTGTCTTTATCATGCTTACAATATCAACCAGATAATAAAATTTGAAACTTTCAATCCCGATCAAATCGACAAATTCAGAACTACCCAACATGTGAAACAAGCCATGGGACTCGACTTCCATATCTTCAAAGGAAAACTTGAAGTTGTAGCCTTCAACATTTTCAAGGTCCCATCAACTTGGAATTGCATCACAAATTTCACAACCCTCACAACAACGATCAAATATTGGAGGAAGATCTAGATTGAGACCTCCATTTATTGGTAGTTGCGACATGTTGGTGTTGTTACCCTTGATACAACGTCACATTTGGATCAAGTTAACGCTCTGATACCAACCGATGCAATGATCAAAACATGAATCAGTTGATTAATAAATCCGGATACCGATCCTCGAATGGAGAATGGATGTTAAAACAAAAACTCACGAAATGCGTAACTTTTCCTTGCAGATTCGTTGATTGTCAAAGACAATACCGAATTTCACAAGTCTTAAACCTCTTGTTGATTCACCAAGAATGCCAAGAAGTTTATCACACGAACGTTGTTGATTCTTTGCACAAGAAAGGTCAATGATCATTAGGGTGTCTATACCTCGTTAATTTCGTTGGAATATACAAGTTGACAGAACAAGAACAAAAATGAGAAAACCCTCTCAAACTGCACTCAATTTTCAATTCAATTCATCATAATCTTCCCCCTAGAATACAAAATACTCGTAATTTATAAAAACTCTAACCCCCTCTTAATAATTACTAATACATGTATCATTACTAGAGTTAATGAACTCATTCAGATTAACCCCACTTAATCTACCCCACTAACATATATTTATTACATTAAATAAAGATTGAGTCATCCTGCATCAATTATTGAATGATAAAATAATATAAAAAAGGCAACGTATTTAGAGTAGGTACCATTTCAACCTTGTAGTATACTTTGATGACCTGTAAGTTTAATGGGTTGAGTTTGAATGATTCGTTGATCTAATTAGTTGTATTAAAACTAACCCAAATTTAAAACTCAACTCATCTACAGGTCTAATTTGGGATATAAAAGAAAAGAAGGGCAATTCTAATGGATAAGTGAGTGAAGAACGTCATTGTTACAATGACTCTTAATAACTTCATAAGGAGATAACCTGAACGTGTTGTCATTTTAATGACCTTGATGACTTTAGTGGATAGAGCGATATCGATTATGATGTAGAGAAATACCTTAAGGTTAGTTTGGTATTACTGTATTGTAAAATAAAAAACTATTTATGTTGTGCTGTGAGAATAAACAACTGTAAAATAAAGTTGTTGAGTGTTTGGTAAACGTTTATATAAATTGCTTTGAATATGTTAAATGTCTAAAAAGGAGATGATATTTAATGTGATATAATAATTGTCAAATACAATAATGTAGGGGTAAAGAGTGTAATTTTGTAAAACATGTGAGAGTATATTTGCTATTTGAAAATTTCATTAAATGAGCATTGATTACTATGCTTTGAAAAAAAAATTACCTATTTCTACTTTCATTGACAACAGTTTTTATTTATTTATTTAAAAAAAACACTTTTTTTTTTACCAAACTTATTTAATGTTCTAGATTTTTTAATAAGTCGCAAGTTTGATGAATGAATTTAATTAGACGACTTTTATGTAACGTGTGGATATTTATTCTATTTATTTGACGTATGTATCACTAACCTGGTTAATGGTATTTCAAGTGCCTCAATACTGTTGTGCTAATGAATCTTAACTATTTGTTTTGTATTACTTCAATATTTTGAAGTAAATTGTTTAAATTAAGATATAATTTTTTTTTTCAAAATGCAAAGTATATCAAATAGATGAACCCTTTGACAAATGGTATTTTACCATAATGGTGGAAAAATGCTAAGACCATACACGACGGAGTGGATTCTAAGTAAAGTTGCAGTAGCTAAAAAAATAAGCCAATTACAAATTGCCCCCCACATTGTAACATAAACCCATTCGATTCGAAGAAAGAGCAAAATACAAAAATGGCGAGCGAGGAAGAGAGCGCCGTGAAGGAGCCGTTGGATCTGATAAGGCTCAGCCTCGACGAGCGCATCTACGTCAAGCTTCGCTCCGACCGTGAGCTCCGCGGTAAACTCCATGTACGATTCCACACCCTATCTATCATGTCTCTCGCTCTGCTGTAAATTAGGTTTTCTCTGCTCTCTGGGTTTTTCTAATTAGGGTTTTAGATGGGGCAAAACTAAAAATAATGGGAAAATAAAATTAGGGTTTAAAGTTTACTACTTTAGTGTTAAGTGGGGAATGGATATGCGTCAAGGTTTGATTTTCATCTTCTAGTCTCAAACACCAATAACAAAATTGTGATGTATGCTCTATAATTGTCTTATTTGGCATCTGTGATAGGAGCTCCAGTCTTTTATTTTATTTTAAATTGTAAGTTTTTTGCTTTTATATATCTCTTCAGGTGTTGTTTTGACACTACGATGATTATCGAAATGACAATGGTGTTGGTGGTTACTATTGCAGTTTATAACTTGTGGAGTGATGATTTAGTTTGCTCTTATTACGAAATTATACTCGACTGTTTTCTCCGGTTAGCCGAGCTAGGAAAATTGTGTGTCTTTATAAGAAATTTGTAGCGAAAAATGTGTAAACGAACAGTATTCTTCTATCGAATAATGAGTATGTACTAAAGAAACAGGAACAAAAATGAGTTGATTGTTTGGTAAAGAAATTTTTTGTGTGAGAACGAGTCGTTTGAACTTGATGCAATGACACAAGGGATGGAGGGGTAAAATGGTGGGTGGATGAGGGAGTTTCTTGTATATTACATCATGTCAAGTGATTATTTTAAGTGGTACTTGCTATCATAATATTTGTGGTTATAAAGCTTCCTGTCCGATTCTGATATTGTTGTTTTTTAAATCTGGCTTTTGCAGGCTTATGATCAGCACTTAAATATGATTCTTGGTGATGTTGAAGAAATTGTTACTTCTGTAGAAATTGACGATGAAACTTATGAAGAGATTGTTCGGGTATGTAGCTCAAATTCTGTTGTCTTTATCACTATGTCTATGTATAACAAAAAAATTTGTAAATCAATTTAACTCGGAGTGTTGTTTTTCTAGAGGACTAAATTGCATAAATAACCAAATGATCTGTAACTTTGGAATGGATCTGCTGTAGTGACCGTATTCTCAGATAGGCCCAGAGGCATTAATCTTTACTGCCTATGGGAAGGCTCCGTTAGATATGAATGTGTTGAGTTTTTCTTCTGTCATTTATTTATCTCATCTTTAAAAGATGACTAAACTGAAGCTAATAGAGGTTAAGTAAACATGGTAACAATCTAACCCGTAAAACATAATTAACAAAGAAGAAGACAAAAAGGATGATGAATATTTGTCTGGATTTTCTTCACATATGTTTCGCTACATTTGGTTTTAATATAGATCCGTATTTGTTTAGTCTTGTACGTTTGGCTGTCGTTACTACCTCTGGTCGTGTATTACATTTTTGGTTGACCACCATTTTTAACTTTTTCCATTGCAGACTACAAAGCGGATGGTTCCTTTTCTCTTTGTCAGAGGAGACGGTGTCATCCTAGTGTCACCTCCTCTAAGGACAGCTTGATTCAGTTACTGGTATTGGGAAATCTTCTGTTTTGACATTTAACAAATCTCCCTCTCTATGTTATTCTGCTTTTAGATTTCTGAATGAATTAGATTTCTTGTATCCCCAGCTACCTAGGATCAGATTTTTAACTTTATTCGAGGAAACCGAAAGAGCAGTTTTCATATGAATCTCAGTTTGAGGTGCCTCGGAAATTGATGGATACAATTCAACGTAATCTTCATGGATGGAACTCTTGTATCTATGGCTATCTAAGTATTTCTTCATGAAATGTTTTCTTGAGATTGAAGAATTTGTTTTTTTGCCTTCAAAGTTTTGTTATCCGATTTTATATTGGACAACAAAGTTTTGTTATCCGTTTTTTTGCCTTCGCCACCTTTCTCTCGTCTCCCCTTGGCGGCTGGAAGCCTTGGAGGCATCGATGCTGCAAGGGGGGCTGGCCTCCGCCCTTCTTCTTTTCCTTTCCCCTTAATTGTATAAGTTTCTTTAATCTAGTATGGTTGTTTGGAAGCTGAGAAAATAAGGAAAGAAAATAAAGCGGTTTTCCAGAATTTAAGATTGCAACCTTGTAGAGTTGTAAAGCATCAACAAATTATTGTAAGCTCTCGTTTCAGATATCATCTAATAGAGTAGTTCAACAATTATGTAATTTACGATGAGAGAACAAGAATTATAGGTTTCATTCCTTTCCTTCAGCTGCATAGAGTGCCTTGATTTCCTCAACGTCGTCGTAGCTGCCGAGGAAGATCGGAGAGCGCTCGTGTATGTTGGTCGGAACCAGGTCAAGGGCCTGCCAAGATGCATGTCAAAATCAATTAACAATCAATTCAAAATCGACTCACAAATGAAAAGAAACTAATCCTGTTTTATGCTTGCAGGCAGTGTCCGATGTTCTTTAACTTTTGTCAACTTCAATCTTAACAACTAACAAGGTGAATCATTATTTGTAGATGTGATCTAGATTGACAGTCTAACAATATAGCGTACTCAATTGACAAACTTAGCGCTATAGATTGTCCGACTCGAGAATGTTATCCTTCCGTGTGATTTCCAATTCGGTTTGATGATAAATGGAGTTTCGTCAAAGTTTTTGAAGTTGTGAGAAATGACTATATTGCATGAAGTGTACTCTGTTGGCAAAAAGCTTATTCAACCAATTTCATTCAGCATATCAACGAATAAGAAATGTCCGCGAGTCCATACCCGTTCCTTGCCAGTGAAGGACTGACCGCCTGCTTGTTCCAACAAGAACGACATTGGGAAGACTTCATAGAGAACCCTAGTTAACACAAGTTAAACCAAATGTCTCACTTAAGTTCATAAACTTAAACCTGAAACTACAGAAAATGATACAAAGCTTCCATGACTGTTTGAAATGAAGAGAAAGCTATAATCGTGCTTGACATACCGCAGTTTTCCGTTTGGGCTCTTCTTATCAGCAGGGTACAAAAAGATACCGCCATAAAGCAATGTCCGATGAACATCAGCAACCATGCTGTTAACCATGACGATAAAACATAAATGTCACTACTTATTGAAAGAAACAGAAGAGCACTAGAACTGAAAGAGGATTATGGAGCTAGAAAGAATCTTTTACTTCACCACCTCTTCCAGATTGAGAATGAAAAATATGAAGATGAAGCCGGTAAAACTACGAGTTGAGATAAATACAGTCGGGGGATAAAGATCGACATTCAAATTCAACAGAGGCAGATGGTTCATATAGAAGAACCAGATTAAACTTCTAAGATGAGAATCGCGATACCTTCCAATGTATCTTAGAGACTTCGGGGATGAACCATCTTCCGGGTACTTGCACTTTTGCACATACCTGAAGTCAAAAAGGTCAGAAATTTTCAATGATGGACTCCAAATAAGAATCATTAATTGAGCTTGACATACTTGGCCGTCGGGCCATCCCAATTTTTGGCATTCCCTTCATTCACTGAATAGATCTTTCCTTTCTTTGGAATCTGGGGAAAGAAGTAGGCATGAACTGAATGTTGGAAACTCCAAAGTAAGAAAAAAAATTTACTAATAACAAAGATAATGTATATCATTTAGTACATTCTCATCAAAACGATATATACATTCAATATATATATGCGCGCACACGCACACAAAAATTTATGGGACAATAGACGCGAATGTAGTAAGTTATCAAGTAATGCACACGAATATCAGAGCAATATTCAGATATAAAAGAGGTTGAATTCCTTCTGTGTATTTCAGCATGAGATTCTTTTCTGAAAAAAATGTTGGGCAAATGTAAAAGGAAAAGAAAATGTACTTTAAGTGCAATAATTATAAGAGTTCTACAAGTTAATCCTCGAGGTGAAATCAGCAGACCGTTGCAGAATATAGTACGGATTATGTTACTGAAGTAGTATAAAAAGAGAAATACCTTGATGTCTGGGTGAGTTAGTATGAACTCCCCGAGAGAAGGATCGAGGGTGAACCCATGAACTCCAGCTCCAGTGCTTATCACCAACTGTGAAATCATTACATTCCCAAATAGTTAAAAGCAGTGTCTTGCAAATCTAGACTGCAGGCAACGAAAATCGTAGATTCTACAATCATAGAAAGTTTCGAATAAAGATTTGCATTCACTGAGGCTCTAACTCAAAAGTCATCCGATAAATGCATCTAAACCACAAGAAACGTGTTGTTTTATATACCGTGCAAAAGCTTCCGTACATGCAGTAGCCTGCTGCAACCATTTTCTTTCCAGGTTGCAAGACATCTTTAAGAGAAGGTTCACCATCTTTAACCACATAAATCCCAAAAATCTGATAAGACAAATGTTTCCCACCACAATATTGAGTTATTCTGGAACAAATGATTGCTTTACATAGAGGGGATTGCATATGATAAGAATGAGCGATTGTACCGTTCCAATGGAAACACCACAATCAATGTTGGACGAACCGTCCAGTGGATCGAACACAACACAGTACCTGCTCCAGTATGAGTTGAAAGCATTATTCAGACAGACAGCCTTTCAGTTAAATGTCTCAAAAACAAACATTCATTGGAACAAGCTCTAAAAACTGGCGTAAAGCATAGACAATTACTTTCCACGCAATTTTGGCTCCACGAAAATCGCCTCTTCATCTTCTTCTGAAACAAGAATAGACTGCCACAAAACACAAATTGTTTGCACAATATCGGTCCTTCAAATTCAGCTAATGCAAACATTAAAAAGGAAAATTTTGATGACTTACAGTTCTGCCACTGCTAACCAGAGCCTTAACAAAAACTTCATTTGAAAGAACATCCAGTTTCTTTTGCTCTTCACCCTACAACCGAAAAATCGAACAATTTCACATATAGAGTAACCCCAATAGATTATATTCAACATAAACAGATAGCAAACACATACCTGAACATTGGTCTCTCCAGCAAGCCCGATAAGTTTGGCCAGACCAGCCTGCCCAAGTAAAACACTTTCAGATTAAAAACCCCATTTCCACAGCAACAATTAATTCCCCAACGCAAAACTGATAAGAATGGGAAATAGTTTCCATCATATTCGAGCGATATTCCAATCTAATCCATACTACAATAGCAAGATTCGAACTTGGGTGCAGAACACTACCACTCTGCTCTAATCAAATTGACTACGTCATGCCAATGATTCGAAAACCTTCATTTCCAATACCAAATTAAATAAAAATCAACAACCAATTTGGCAATCAATATAATCTTTGAGAAAAACGATACAATAAGAGAGAGAGAGAGAGAGAGAGAGAGGGAGAGGGAGATACCTTGTTGACCGCAGAGCAGACAAACTTGCAGCCAAGAACAATATGACTGAGCAAGATGGTGAAGTCACCGCGGGACTCAGGGTGCTTGGACTGCTCATTCAGCACGAACCTCGTTATGGTCATCAAGTCCGTCCGGTGGGCATCGGCTGCATGATCCATTTTTCTCTGCCGTCCTTCCTTTTTCCCCACAAAACCACTGTCACTAAAAACCTCCAAAAAACAATCCACAGCCGACCAACTAGTATTTATATTATATACAAATCCACACTCCAAAATAATATATTAAAAAAAAAAGGAGGAAAAATGTAAGGAGAAAAAAAAGGTGGTTTGGATTTGGATGAGAAGGTGGTGGTGGTGGTGCTGGATTCGAGGAGTTGATCGACTGGGGAGTGGAGCTAATCTGGTACCAACGGAAGTTTCGGGGCACACGTGGAGGGGTTGGGATGGAAGAGTGAGCTATGTCCTATGTGGTTGTCACTAAAGATAACGCCTGTCCTCGTTTTCTTCTGATCCGGCGGTTACCAGGTTTTTGTCTCTTCTGTCTCGATCATGGATGACATGGACGAGGTTGCCTTCATCTCAAGCAAACTCTTCACACTTTCCTCAACGAGTTGCCTTTTTGCATAGAGGTTATATTCTTTTATGCTGTTCTCTTATGCTAAGTTGGGCCTTCTCCTTCACTTACTTTTTTTTGTTTTCGTTCCGTAACGTTGCATCTAAATCTATTTTTTATGTTACTTTCTAAAAATTAAGTATGCAAAATACCATTGTTGAAATATCAAGGCTATAACGGGCAATAACGTGTGATTTATTAGAAGTAATATGAGAAAATTTGGAGATCTTCTACACATATCAATCATCCATTTTTACAATATGATTTGTTAATCTGTAAGATATCATTAGATGACTAATAGATTTCAAATTTGGTTACTTTTTAGCTAAGTAATCCATAAAGGGTGATTTAAAAAACAAACGGTTCATATTATCGTGCAACAATAAAAAGTGAAAACGAGATTAGCAAACAAAGAGGGGAAAGAGAAAACGCGCAAGCATTGCGTGTTCAGAAGCCCCTAGGAAACTATACCAACATTTTGGACTGTACTATTAGCAGATGTGGAGCATAAAAAACAAATGGGGCATAGTAAATTAAACTAGTGCCTATTAATATAAAGTTGTTGTGAATAATCTGTTACTATTTATACACAGTATTTTCACTATTCATTTGTGGAAAATTTGTAAAGTAAATAATGTTCTTTGTGCTTATAAAATGAATGAGATGTGAAGGAAGAAAGAGTAGTGAGAGATTCACGGTAGAGAGAGAGAGAGAGAGAGAGAGAGGAAAGAAGATGAAGAGAGAACAGAGAGAAAAGAGAGAAAAGAGAGGAAAGAAGAGGAAGAGAGAAAAGAGAGTTATTTTTGTACTCTTATTATTATAATGAAAGCATCACTGTTGTCCCGATAATATACTCCAGTCACACTGACTGTAGAAGAACCTCGTAAATTTTGTGTCTTATTTATTTCACTACACATACCGTCAATTTTACAACAAAATTGCATTTTTGCTGTCCACATTCTCTCTCCTGTGTATGCTGCCCATCATATTATAATTGTCACTTAAGTCCTACCAATCAATTCTAGTTAAATCTTTTATTTCTTATTTTTCTGGTGCAATACTTGCGAGAGAGAATTATTCTTTTAACATTTTACTTCTACTTTTGTCCTTTGTACTGTGATCTTGTGATATTTCTCTTCATTTATAAATGAGAGGTCTTATATTCGAATATCGTAAATGATGATTTTGATATCAAATTAGGTTGTTCATTTATAAATTAGCTGAATTCTCTTTTCCTTTTAGTGTAAAATATAGCATTGTAATAAAAATTAAAAATAATTCTTTATCAAACCTATAGTGTTTGAGTTTTTGCCCCACAAATCCTCCTACCAATCTTCTACCAATTTCTCGTGATCGTGATCGTTCATCGTACATTATGATCAGTTTTCGTTAGTTATTATTTATATTTAATTTTAAAATTTAAATTTTGAAATGATTTCTGATCGCATGATGTACAATAAACGGTTATAATCACGGGATCCTTAACATCACTAGGAAAAGGATCCTCGCCAGATCCTTTTCCAAAATTTCCCTCGCACAACCATCAGCTGCCTTGCGCCTAAGCCGTGCAACAGCAACTCGAAAGAACATAAGCTCAAGTCAAAGAAAATAACCACGGGTTGATTAGATAATTACGAAATCAGAAAGATTTTCGTTTCTATATTTGGTAAAGGGAATAGATTCATTAGATAATTTCTATATATAAAGACATAATTAGACTCATTCATTCCCTTTATCGTCATTTCTAGGTTGCTTTGAAAAAAATTCATTCGATTTGGAAATCGTTTAACTATGTGTCAAACAAATGGACTGTTATGATAACAAGTAATATCCTCATGATAACCCGTTTAACTTGTTTGATCCATACTAATGACTAACTGGTCACCAAAATTAAATGAATTTTTCTAAAGATGATCTTTAGATGACGATAAAACATTTGATATCACATTCTAAGTCAATTGCTGTTACCAATAACTAATGGACTAGAAAGAACAGTAATACCTCATAGTTAGAAGGAACTAAGTAAAAAAGAAGCTTATAGCTTTAAGCCCTTAACCTTGCAACCAGGTTCAGGAGAAGAGAATACATATGCAACACATCAAGACCAGGAAAACTTTCTACCGTATAACAGCAGTAATGCTGTAAAAATCATTACAATAATTTCGACGACGAGACGACTCGATGTTTGTTTATTGAAGTCCTTCCCAAGAACTGATAACTCCTCTACTCAACAACAAAGGCGATTATATAAATGAATTTTACAATTTGGATTGACAATAAACTTACACGATCTTTTTCCCCAAAGACCGAATTGATTGCTGAAGCTTCAGCATGCAGAGGACGTCATCGACACTGTCTGCGTATTGAGACTGACGAAAACATTAGATGAACGCTCCTCGTACCTTAATGGTGGCACTCCCAACCACACAAGCTCATCCTGTTAGCTTGCATAATTAGCTCTCCTGCTTCCGGCAATGAAAGTACAACAAACGATCCCCAAATAAGTTTCACAAGCAATTCATACTATGCTAGGCGGGTCACCTACCCAATTGCAGACAGCACGGGGCCAGCGTGTTCTTATGCAGTCCACCAGAGGTGCATGCTGAGCAGGCTCCGGCTTAGCAATTTCTGTGACTTTCCCTCCAGATTCATTACCACTAGAAGCAGAGGACACTACCACATCTGTCATGTATTCTTCAGGAGTCCACCTTGGAGGTACCGACACCCTCAATTTTGTGAGCCTAGGTCTTTGAACTGGAATCTCGCCTCCAGAGGCTGTCTGGCTTCCATTCAGGTCAGATTTTGCAATTCCATTAAAATGGTAAAGATCAAACACCTTCTTACCCATCAATCCAGTTGAATCCTTCAGGCCTCCCAAGCTCTTGTCCAAATCCAAAATGACCTGCCACAACTCACTCCATACGATAAATCCTGTGTTGCAGAGGAGGTCAACCTTCTCAGTTGGAAGTTTTACGTTAGTTTCCCTAAGGACTTGATGAAAGCCTTCCACACTAATAAAACCACCACCACCACTCTGATCTTGTGCATCAAAAGCTCTCCGAATCTGTGATTCCCTTCCTTCCAGTTCATTCTCATCTTGAACAGTGGTATCAAGAGAAAAAAGGACTGTATAATGAGACTCACTCCCAACCACCCAGATTGGCCATTTTGGACTTTTCAAATACTGACCAACCTTACAGTAATTTAGGGATTCTAACAGAGTGAGGAATCCAACTTCCACAGTTTTGGATATGCCTTTTAAAGACATGCCACCACCTAAATCCATCTTTCCATCGAAAACATTAGGGACTGCCTGCCCACAGAGCAATAAGTTCACAATTTCCTGTACCATAACATACAAGGTAGAACAATGAACCATAATCCAAAGTTCATAAAAAGAACAGCAATTGGATCACGTACTGAAGCACTGGGCCAAAAAGTGGAAACTCGTTCACATGGAACCGTACCTGTGAAGCATGCCCAAATGGAGCAGTGACAAGAGGTAGGCCGGGGTCATCCCTGTCAGATTGTACCAAGTCCTGCAGTCGAGAAAGTTCAATAAACTAGTTTAGTTAAGAAAAATAGTGTTGCAGCGTTGCTGAAGACTCAAGTAAAGTGTACAGTTTTCAAAAGAGGTTGCAAGCTTACTAACATACCAGTCCTCGAGAAAGTAAAGCAGAAATAAGGAACAGCAGTGCCCCCATACGACTTTGGAAGACAGGAAGCACTGCTTGGAGCCCCATAAACGCACTTTCTTGTGTTGTGTAAGTGCTAACTCTTAGCACTTTATGCAAATCAGCAGCTGATTCGATTGAAAGACTTTCAAGTGACTTTGTTATTACCTGTCAAATGACAGCAAAAATACAAAGGTTGAAAGTTTAATTCAAACCAAATATATAAATATAGTGCAAGTTCATCATACATTATTCCTATCATGACACAGGAAAAAAAGAAGTGCATGATCCACCAGCTCCAGTTCACTTACTTCATCATTCAGGTTGTCATCAGCCCTCTCAGTTTCATCTCCAATAACACTCAAAGTTGCAATCACCGCCCTTTTATTGCTTCCACATAAGAACAATATCTCACCCATACTTCTAATAAGTACACTGTCAAAAGGACGAAGTGTTGGTTTCAGCAACGTGAATTCCCAAGAGTCAAACAACTTTAATCATCAATCAAGAAAAAGATTCTCAAATTACCAACATGAATCAACATAGTTAGTTTAGTTTCATACGGCAAGGATGCAAGAAGATGGTGCTTAGGACCTTCAGGGAAATTTTCTTATAAATCCTATTTCAAACAGGGTTGAGACACATATCAGGCAGTCAGATTTTTCTTACTTTCAGCCTGATTTGGAAATATAAGATTCCATCCAACGTTATGGTTTTTGGCTTCGTTGATGGGTACATGGGAAGGTAACACCGGCAATCTACTCCAAAGACGTAGGCCGGGATCCTTTTTATGCTCACTTTAGTGTATTTATGTAAGAGTTTGGGGGAGAGAGTGGAATGTGTTTTCTTATCTTGCCCTTTTAGTTGTAAGTTAGGGTGCTTTTTATTTGACCAGATAAACTGATTTTTTTATATAAAAACCCTGCCCAAAATGACGTCGTTTTTGTTTAGGATGTTCTTCAAATAAAGAGAATTCAAATGCCCAGGTGGTGCCTCGACAATGACTCAGGTGCCTAGGCGCTCCTCCCAAAAGCCCTGGCTAGTCTATAGCCCACTCCAGCTGGGCAGAGGCGTTTTCTTGGTAGCCTCGCCCAAAAAACCACCCAGGCTAGTCTCCATACTAGTTTGTAGTGAAATTAGTGTATGCTTACAAAGGAGGGAAAAGTTTGTAGTGTATTATGCACGCACACTCTAAGTTATGCAGAACCAAAAGTTAAATAACATTTTTCCAGTGAAATTAGTGTGAGCTTACAAAGGAGGAAAAGTTTGTAGTGTGTGTTTACAACTAAATAA